TCCCGCTAGATGGTTGAAATCTACTGAACTCGAATGAAGCATACGTAGAGTCCTCACCTACACCTCATCCGTCTAGCGCCGGGTTCTAAAATTCAAAATAATACAGTCAGACCTTGATACATAAAATTCGGCCCTTTGTTTTCAAGCTTTTCAGTATAGAAAATTGTGGCAAATTAGTCATATAGTCTTGGCAGCTGAGTTCGTGAGCTTCGCTACTAATTAAGACTTACTAGTAACGGAAATAGCCACATTAAGAAATCAATTCGAATGGGACGGTGGGGTAGTGATGATTAGGAATGGAAATAGAAATGTAAGGAGCAGTGATAGTGGGAGAAAAATATAAATCAAAAGTAAATCAACAGTATAGTGACCCGTAAAAGGTCTTGGGGATTAGGCTTGCATGATACACTTGCCCCAGTATTGCCCGATCCCCAAGACTTTTCACGGGTCACTGTAGATTGACATCCGTGGTCAGAGCTCTAACAGTCGAGATATCTACTAGGGAGCGGCGACAATTATACCAGCAATATACCCGGAAGCAACACACACTCACAACTTGGTTTAAACCAACCTCTAGTGCTTATCGACATAGTTGCTGTTTTCTGGGCTGCTCAAGAATCACTGGTGCGCAGGAGGCAAGGCAGTAGCAGGGGGGTTTCTATGGATTTCATGAGCATCTTTTCATTATAGCAAGAACAATTTGTATGTAGATAAAAATAACTTCCTCTAGAATTTTTTTCATTACACTATTTGGTGTGATTTCATTATAGCAAGGTCAAATTGTATGGGGATGGAAATCCGAGAGCGTGGTGTGTTCATTATAGCAAGGTTTTCACTATAGCCAGGTTCATTATGGCAAGGTCTGACTGTATGCATACGCTATTTGGTATGATTTCATTATATGTAGCAAGGTCAGATTGCACGGGAATGGAAGTCCAAGAGCACAGTTGTGTCATAATAGCAAGGGTTTCACTATAGCAGGGTTCAATATAGCAAGGTCGGACTGTGCTCACGAGACTGGCTGGGTACTAGGACTTGATAGGACACGATCTGCGTACGGGAAGCAACGGGATATTTAATACCCTACCCCACTACCAAATGTAGTCAATACTTTTACACAATTTAGCGAGATCAGATGAGTTTAACATACCTTTTGGATCAAGTGTGGGGGTTCAAAATGGATGAAATGTGACGTCGTCAATTGGGTGGTCTATCTGCAGGAGTTTGCACACACACAAGCAGATTAGCGGCACCGCAAAGTTTTCTTCTTGAGCAAGGGACCCACATATGTACCACATGGGCATTGCTTAGATTAAAGTATGTTATGCTAGTTTGGAAAAGCGATGCCAGAGAGAAGACGCATAACCGCGCACTTAAAAGCTGTAAACTTCCCAAGCGTCTAGTCGTTACCTCCTCCTTCCTGGTTTCAACATCCGCCACCAGTTTCTAGCGTTCCTTCATTTTGCGACACTACTTCCAGTCATTGAATACTGCAACAAAATGGGCCAACCATCCGAGCCAGCTTCCAATGCGCTGATTTTCTGCACTTATGCGCTTTTCCTGTAAGCTTTGTTGGTTTCAATTTGTACTGCTGGTCTTGCTTGCTCAATGATCATATCTCTTTGTGTAGTGTTATGGGGTGCTACCTTGCATGGAGATTCCGACATCAATCTAAACAAGAGTTTCTCTCAACAAATCGTACACAGAGTGGTCAGGACACAAATATTCCTGCATAATTACGGTAGGTCAACCGTCTACAAGAATGCAGGCTGATATACAATTCTAGCAATCCCTCTGGCGCTCAATTTCGTGTCTAGTGGTGGGTGCTGCGCGAAAAGAGTTACGGGAGCAGCAACATGAATCACAATTCGCTCATCAAGAGCAGTCTATAACTGAGAGCAAAGAGAAGTTAAAGGAGAGGGGTTTAAGACTATAAGTATAAGTCTGCTTCAGGTTCGTAAATAGTATCGGAATCTCTCGAGATCTTCTGCAACTGTCAGGTTCTACTTGGAATCTGAATGTCGGAGCGATCCTGAGGGAGGAGGATTATATGCGGCTTCACTGCGGGCGCTCTGATCGAGGATCTGTTCTTTCACACGCAGGATCCACCCTTTCCATTTTCCATGTTATGAGATGATGTGAGAGGAGATACTGTTTGTGATGTTTCAGTCCTCTATTCAGGGCTGAGATTGTACCGTTTGCACTCGAACAAGTTAAGACTTGCGTGGGAAACGTGTTGCTGCTGCCGAATCTCTCTCTCTTCCGTCATGTGTAGGATTTGCTTGAATTGACATTGAGATCTAGCTATGGGATCCTCTATCCTATTCTCGTACCCGGAGCTTTCAACATATATCGGACTTCAAGGAACTTTGACCTATGCGGCATGCTCTGCATTGCCATTAATGGTATTTGTTGTACTAGGGCCTATCATTAGAAGAAAGTTGCCAGAGGGTTTTATCATGACCGCTTGGGTTAGGCATCGATATGGGGAAGTTGCAGGTGCCTATATCAGCTTCTTGACGTATGTCAATTCTACAAACTTATATTGAGTACTTGATGGTAGAACTAACTAGTCCAGACTTGCGACAATGTTTTTGTATATGATCGCAGAACTCTCAGCGCTACAGCAGGTCATCGAAAGCATTGCTGGTGTTGATGGCTTGAGGGTTATCATTGTGCAGGTTATTGTCACAACCATTTATACTTGTGAGTTCTCCGCATGTTATCATATTTTTGTCCTTTTGTACATCACTGACATTCTTCGAAAATGTAGCCCTTGGAGGATTCAAGGTGTCTTTCACAACCGACAATATTCAGGGTGTTATGATCTGTGGTCTTATTATCATTTGTGCAATTTCCATTGGTACAACCGCCAAAATCGATAGAAGTTTGATTGATCCTTCCGGTTTATTAAAGCCTAGCCTGTTAGGCTACCAGCTCATCTATATTTTGTTTATTGGTATTGTCTTCAGCGATATGTTCCTTTCAGTATGTTCATTGCATCTATTAGAAGTTAACAATTGCTCACTTTCTCTCTAGGGCTTTTGGATGAGAACTTTTGCTTCTCGCACAGACAAAGATCTAGCTATTGGAGTTTCCATTGCAACATTGGTCGTATTTGTTGTATTGGGGCTGGTTGGGTCTACTGGGTTGATCGCCGTGTGGTCTGGAATTGAAAATCCAGGCAGTTTGGCCTTCTTCATGCTCATGGCTCAACTCCCAGCGTGGGTTGTTGGCATGGTGATTGTTATGGTTGTTGCGCTGAGCACTGCAGGCAAGCTCTTTCTTTTGACAACTACAATGATAAAGTAGGTACAGAGCTAACAGGGACGGTGCAGTGTTTGATACTCTTCAGTCTGCTATGGTCTCCACCGCCTCCAATGACCTATTCCGCAACAGAATTGACCTCATCTGGATCCGTGGTCTTGTCGTTCTGATCATCATCCCGGTTATTGTCATTGCCATCAAATCTCCATCCATCCTCCAAATCTACCTCATCTCCAACCTCACCGCATGTGCTTCCTTGCCTAGCGTACTTCTTGGCCTCAGTGACAAGTTGTATTTCCTTAAAGGTTTCGATGTTGTATGCGGTGGTCTTGGAGGAATATTCAGTGTCTGGCTCTTTGGTTTGGTATACTATGACGGAGACTCAAAGGCCGCTGCTAAGCTCTTGATTTTAGAGTCTTTGTATGCGAATGACTGGTCTGTTTTCGGGACATTTCTCATTGCACCAATTGCTGGGCTCTTGGTTACGGGATTGGTGTTCTCATTGAGAGTTGGATTGAGGTGGTTGGTTTGCAAGCAAACTGGAGGGAGATTTGATGCATTTGATAGATTGGTGGAGCCGCCCTCTGCAGAGGTCAGGGCTGTAATTGAGAGAGATGAAGAGAATTCGGACCCTGTGAAGGTAGTCCGTGAGTAAAAGCAATGAAGGACAGATAGGAAGTAATATCATGGGTTGGATGCTGGCGGTCTGGAATTTTGGCATCCATTTTTGGATACTTGATATCGGACTAGACTAGGTGATTCAAATATTGTCACTAGGGATTGTCTTCAGATGGTGTAGAAACTTCCTCAAGGACGGAAAAGCAATTATACCGCTACATTGAGTGTTTCAGTCCATTCATTCCTGCTCTCGTAAACTTTCATTGCTCATTCCGTACATACAGGAAGGGGCCTACCGTGGCGCCGTCCTCTTGCCCAGTGGTTGAAGATATATGTACCCCAATTCACTACGACTTCATACGAGGGAACTCTAGGAGGGGCAACGTGAAAATGTTAGAGATTATGCGCCACAAAATTAGTGACAGTTTACCCCTAGAGATTGATTGATCATTGTTAAATGGTAATACTCCATGCTCCTGTACCTGCCCCCCTTTGACCGCCTTCTCCGGCAGCCTCTCCAGCAGCCCATCCGGAACGCACCTTCTCCTTGATAGGTCGACAATTCCCATGTGTTTTTCTTTCTTTATTTCTACGTTGTCTTTGTTTTAGCTGGCACCTTGTTCCTCCATTTCTTTATATCTGCTGAAGTAACCTACGGCATTTTTGTTGTGATTTGTAGGCACATAAAACTGTGGGTACATGGGGACTCTAGACAGACCAGGACTATAACATGCCGGCGGAGGAAAGGCTGGCTAAGTTGGGCGGTGAGTTCCATAGCAAGAGGTGCTGTCCTATAAAAGAAACAAGCAAAGCGAATATTAGAACGTTGCATGGTAGGGAGATGGAGGGCCCCAGGATACGAGAACCACATTTTATAACGGGAATCAAATAAATTTTCATTATGAACTTGTGTTCGCAGGATAGGAAAAACTAATGCGAATTAGCTGAATCTTGAACCGAACCAGAGCGACAGGAATAGGACATTACAAAGACTAGCTGATGCTGTTGATACAAGCTCTATGGAGACTTCCCAAAGTTTCAAGGAAAAACTTAAAACTCTTTGCAATCAATATGAAACACTTATTCTTTTTATACAGAAATGTGCAGTCATCCAAGGTTGAATGGTGTAACGGTAGCACATAGGATTTTGATTCCTGTAACCTGGGTTCGACTCCCAGTTCGACCTTCTTTTTTGTTTTTCCATGATATGAGTGCCAAGCCCTCAAGTCAGAAATAACCCTATAACAGGCTAACTCAATGTTCTCAGATAGCTCTCAGAACGCGACATTATACCAAGCTTCAACATCTCTTTCCCTTCCTCCTACACAGCGACTGCCTCCAGCTGATAGATCATCCTTCAAAACTTAGAGTTTCCATTTATTTCGCCATGTCTTCTAAGCCGCAATCCAGCACCACGGACAACAAAGAGGAGACAAGGCCGGCGGCAAACCAAGGCTTCTCGTTAGAAGAGGACGACGAATTTGAAGATTTCCCGGTCGAAGGCAAGTTCAACTATCCAACCCAGCAGCACCCGGGGTTCGCAGCCTGTAGAGCTGCAATGCAAGGAGTTTGCATGAGCAGGACGAAGGCTAACCTATGGGTGCCTGGATTCGGAGAAACAGACTGGCAAGACGCCGAGACTGAAGTCCCCAGCGGGAAGGCGAATTTGTGGGAGGAGAGCTGGGATGATAATGACAGGAGTGAAGATTTTTCTGCTCAGTTAAGGTGGGTCTATTCACGATTCCCTGTGGAATGGGTAGGGATGGCAGAGGTGGGAAGGAAGGCGGTGGACGGTGGGGTACGGAGGGATATATAGAAGGAGGACGGAATGCTGATTATGTGCGATTAAAGGGAGGAGCTGAAGAAGGTTGAGGGGAAATAAAGGACTAGGAACGGGGATAATACTGAGGATGATATCGTGAGGGCGCATAAGGTAGAAACTGAAGGAAGTGTCTTGAGAGGTATTGAGAATTCTGCTCCATAGACATCACGCGGAGTGTTGGCACAAGTCAATATGATTCTGACTGCGATGGCATTGAGATCACTGGCTAGACAGTCGCCTTCTTCCTTTTAATTGAACTTTGGCATAAGGAGCATCCGGTGCATTTCTTTTTGTGTAGCCCTTCGTGTTGCTTATTACAACATATATATTGAGGTTGATTATAGGTCTCTGCGCATTGCCATTTTCGTATGCTTGAATAACCCAGCTGCATCTGTATGTTGAAAGCGTCTATTTTGACCGCTGAAGACAGTACCTTAACTGGATTTTAATGAGCGTGTCAGCGTGCACTATACTTTGATTTAAGTTATTTGTGTGTAATATATATATACGTAGCGAGATACAATATGAGACTAGATGTACAATCTCCATCCCTTCACTTAATGCTTCTCCTTGCCATGATGTTGAGAACATAAAAAGCTTATCAGCAAGGCACGTGCTGATAACCGCATCCGCACTACTGCTTCACAACCATCATCATCGTCACCAACCTCATCAACAAGACTCCTAACCTTCAAGCTCAAAAATACCCCTCTCCAGACTCTCAGATATGGCGACTGCCACATCCCCCTCCTTAGCGCTAACACCCAAAACCTTCATCAAACAAGGCGCCGAAGCCCACCTCTACTACACCACCTTCCTCCTCAAACATCGTCCATCAAAGTCCTCCTGACACCCTCTCCTCGATGCACAGCTGACGAAGCACACAGATATCTTTCAGAAATGGCTCGGAAATATTCCTGATTCCATCTCTGAGCAATACAGCACATGCACACAAAGGGACGAGATATCAAGTATTTACTTACCCAGGAGTTCAATGGCTCAGAACCAACTGTGTCTTCTTTCATAAATTATGTAGCGAGAACAGTGAAGTAATGGGTACTTCTTTGTTAGGCTGCTTGTAATATGGTCCATAATCAATTGGCTCATCTTATTCGGAGTTGTGGTACTAGTATGCCGCATATGCCACGGCTTGCAAGAAAACTTTCAGTTTTGAAGTTCTGCCGAAGATAAACCAAAATCTAGAGAGCTCGAGAAAGCAACTTTTGATCAGACACAGATTGCGAATTGCACCTTTGTTACGATGGCAGAATCAGAGGGCGAATTTGAGGGTACCCCATGTTTACACACACTGTCCCCCACATTGGATGATGCATCAAGTCCAGCTGTTGTTGCTGGGACAAAGAATAAGCAAAAACGTCGAGACATCGAAAAGCTCAAAAAGCTGAAACGTAAAAAGAGTCTGAAAAGTTGCATCTTGTTATACCTGAGCATACTAACGCCGGAATTAACACAGCCATCGCGAAGCTCGATCCCCAATTGAATGCTGATTATGTTGTATAGAAGGTGAAGAAGTTCGAAAAGGACCTAAGTGCTGTGGACATGGAGGATAGATATATTCCTGGTTAGTTTATGAAATTGTGCGTGTCAAGTAACTGCTAGAGAGTAACTGACTTTTGATTGCAGTGTCCACATTTTGAGATACTGCAAGTTGGCATAAGGACTGAAATTTGGAGAATTTACCAAAGTATATGGAAAATTTTTTCCTGATATAAAGGCCGGGGATCTAGTCCAAAGAAAGCATCAAAGTCAGACGGAATACTTCAATTTTCATTGCTGCAGTCGCACTGAGAGCAGCAGATCTTACTCGAGCCATGAGAAAGTTCCAGTCAAAGGAAAATGCAGTAGGTAAAACTCTTTGCAAAGCATATCAAGTTAAAAGAGTCATTAGAATAATATCGCAGTACAAGGATAGGAATTGGAGTTGGAACTCCAGGGAGAGTATTGGATCTCATTGAAGAAGGTGATGGTGGGCTAGTATGGTTGTGATCCGGAATTACTAATATACCATGTTGACAGATGCTCTCAAACTTGATAACCTAAAGCGAGTATTATTGGATGTTAGCTATATTGACCAAAAGAAAAGAGGGCAGTCTGGTTGCAGACTAAAAAGAGGGATATTTGGATCAAGGAGAAACAGAAAAGCGTGATAGGCCTGCCCTTCAATGATAAGCTAAACAAAAGACTGCTAAGCGAAGATACTACCATAAACTTTTATTGAGTATCACCAGACTTTTGTATTTTTATTTTTAGTTTTTGTTCTTTCTTTCTTCCTTATTACTTTTCAGCCGCACACCTGTATCAATGCATTAACTGGAGTTATATTCATGAGCTTTACGAGTTACTTATAAAATTTATCTCATATATCATCTACTCATGCATCCATAGGGAATACAGTCCATCATCTTCTTCTGAACCAATGTAAGGTACGAAGTAGTGGCTCACTTCGTATTGAGTCACATAGCCATGCTAGATATCTTTCCCAGAGGTTATAGCATCGTCCTAGCCTCACTCGTGATTGCCAATTTACTTGCCTGAGCGCTAATCGCTAAAAGAAGTAATACTACTCAATAAGGAAACTCCCCCGCGGTACCTAAGTCAATCTACCTCTTAGAGCCTATAAACTTGTTCACAAACCACACTTTTGCTCCCTTGCCTCTTCCATTCCCAGTCCCCCACAAACCAATCTTTCCGCGAACAAGTGCCAACCCTCGTTTGTCTTACTGCTGGAGAAACAGTTCACATTTTATCTCTTCTTTCATAATACATCATCATAAGCCACTCACTACTCCTTTCTTACTCATTCCTTTAATTTCTATCATCTGTTATTTCACTTCCTAGGGTGTCGAGAAACCCGTCAGTCACAGCATCACCATTCTCTCGAGACATAGCAACTGCGAAAATGAACTTTTTCCTGCCTTTGCTCCTATTCGTGCTTGTGACCACTGATGTACGTGGGTCTGTGCTTAGATTTGATCCTTCCAATGTTCCAGGTACGTTCTAACAAGCCCACTCAAGGTAACACACTAACACTTCTAGAATGCGTTCCTACGTGCTCCAGAAACGCATGGGTTTTTACGAATTGTAAAGACCAAAGCAAGGACTGCGTGTGTGTACATAAACACTACCCGCATGTGTGTTTCTAGAAATCCAAACACTCGTCGCTATTCCAGTACTGACTGCGAGAGTTTTTGTAGAATATGTTCAGCTGTCTGCATATTTTCTGCGAGCCAGAACAGCTTCAGGGTGCGATGGATTTTGTGAAGGCACAGTGTGCACCGTATCTGCCGCAAAAGGACGGGGAAAGCTCTCCACGTTTTTGCAATGGGAAATTTCACAAGCAAGAGGAGCAGCATAGGTTGTATGCAAGAGAAGAGGGATTGAAATCCCCTCTAGGCTCAGCACCCACTGAAGTCCAGGCTGGAGCCTGCGGTTCACCTTACGTTTATCGCCCAACACAGCTAAACTTTTTCCGAAAAACCTCCGTAACCATTTCCACACTAGCAGAGGCTGAACAAACTGAGGGATCCGACCTTTAAGCTGAAAAGGTACATATTCATGGAGTAAGTTTAAACACATCACGATTTCAAACAATCAACCGCTGAACGTATATAGCATCGAAGACTCCCTAACCATAACAACTTTTGAAAAACTCACTTCTTATAACCCGTCAAGGCTATTTTACTACCTTAATTGTTCTGTTCTTCAAATACTTGTTCCGTTCCATACAACCGTCTTTGACAGGGATTTGCGAGTATTTTGCATTTCAGTTTTGCTCTCTTGCTGTTGGATGATCGATTTCTTAGACCTGTCACAAACTTTCTGAACTACTTAACATTTGCGCCTTTTGTGTCTCTCAACGACATTCGTGAGGACACTAGTACTGAATTTTCTTATTAGATGAGTTGGCGATCAATAGAAGGACTTAATTCAACTATGCACTTAGCTATATATAGTTATGCTCAGATACTGAAATATTTTCAGTTGCAGTCATCTCATTTGACAATTACCCTGATGTGCACAATTTGAAAAGAGTAACGCTCGTCTGCCAAGATTTACAACTTTAGATTTTCCTACATTTTCCCAACTTACAATAACTTGGAACTTGGTGTCCTTATAACACCTCACGACTGCAATGGCGGAAATTTTGTTAGTAGCAGCACCACAATTATCAAGCACAGCGCCTCTGGCGATAGATAACTTGTCTGAAAACAAAACTGGAAAGAAGAAATCGAATAGTCGATGGAATAAAGGGAAGAAACGGAAACACGAAGAGCTCCATGGCGAGGAAGGTGCGCAGGGTGCCAATGAGGTAATGGAGAAGTCGAAGGATAATGGAGAAGGAA